AGTATTTCTTATTTGCAGCCGAAAGGAAAGAAGGCCAAGGGCAAGAAGGTGGCACCAGCCCCTGCTGTAGTCAAGAAGCAGGAGGCCAAGAAGGTTGTCAATCCCCTCTTTGAGAAGAGGCCCAAGAACTTTGGCATTGGTGAGTAAGTGGATATTTGGGTGACTCGCTCAAGGTTTTTTTGTTTTATAAACAGATGTCTGCATTGTAAAAAGTAGATTGTACAGTGTGCAGATGATGTGAAAGAATATTTGCTATCTGAGTGATAGTGCTGACATATCGCCACCAAGATCACTGATGCACTCGAGCCTGTTCCGTGCTGTTGCTGTGTGGGTTTGGAACAGCTGTGAGTTAAGGTCTGTATTTTTAGGACAGGATATCCAGCCGAAGCGTGATCTCACACGGTTTGTGAAATGGCCGCGCTACATCAGACTGCAGCGCCAGAGGTCCATTCTCTACAAACGCTTGAAGGTGCCTCCTGCCATTAACCAGTTCACTCAGGCTCTGGACCGCCAAACAGGTAAGGATGTGCCCTACAAAGGCCTCCTGGGTCCTTCATGGGATATGGCTCAGAGAAGAGGAAAGAAGCAAAAATAAGACTTAACAAAGCTAAGCTGGAGAGTATCTTTGGAAGCATTTTAGGGAGGTTTTAATAGTGACTGGGGTGATGTCAACAGCAAGCTGCTGTCTGAACTTGCTGGCGTAAGCATTGATAGCTGCTATGTACTTTGAAAAGGTGTATAGAAAATACCAAAGCTCCTACTTAATAATCCAAACTCAGGGTTATCTTAACTGTATGAATCCATTCTTCCAGTTTGATGTAGAACCACTTAGGGTTCTTTTAAGTGTGTAAATGGATAGTTTGGGAAATCGGTGTGAGTGCAGGCTGTGGGGATGAAGCCAGCATCCTGCAGGCTGACATTGATACGGGGTAAGAAGGGATTTCAGGGTCTTCTGTGAATTAGTAAATAGTTTTTTCCAGGTGACAGTGTTTGTGCAAGAAACTTTCAGCCTATGTAGAGCAAATCCCTCGTAGGTACTGCCAGACAAGTTGCTTTAAAGGAGAAAGTGTTCCATCTTTAACCATAACTGCTGTGGGGGTCAACAGGCATTTCTTCATCCAAACAGGGTAGGAGCTCTCACTGCCTGTAGAGTAGAGGTAAATACGGGCTCTAGAGGCGCTCAGCTCGCTCTGCTCTTGCACTGTCCAAACGATGCTAAATTTTTGCTGTCTAAATACACTTGATGACAACCACCAAGATTGCTAATACATTGCAGTCTTTTAAAAAGTAATGCTTGGATTTTTTGCAACTAACTTAACTAGTAGATGTTCTCTTCCAGCTACACAGCTTCTGAAGCTGGCACACAAATACCGGCCAGAAAATAAGCAAGAGAAGAAGCAGAGGCTACTGGCTCGTGCTGAGCAGAAAGCTGCAGGAAAGGGAGATGCGCCGACTAAGCGGCCACCAGTCCTTCGAGCAGGTAACTTTGTACGTGGACTTGGCTGCTTGCATGTATGGGGGTGTGGTATTTAGTTAGAAAACTGAGAAGAGTTGGTGCTCTGCTCCAGCCAGTCGAGATTGGACAAGCTATTGCAATGATGTATGAATTTCTTCACCTGAGCTCAAAGTGAAGAGCAAAACAGACGAGCTTTTTAACCCTGAGCTATAGCAGATTGTCCATGGAATATCTTCTTTGTGCTACTAAATGGATGTGAAATGTTTTCATAATGTTCATAATCAAGCTGCACCAGGGAATCTGAGCTGGTTGTATTAAGCTTGTAAGAAAGCTCTGAAAATAGACTGAGCAGAATCAAACCTTACCTATAACTTGTTTTTTCAGGTATTAACAGTGTCACAACTCTGGTAGAGAACAAGAAAGCTCAGCTGGTAGTTATTGCCCACGATGTAGACCCCATTGAGGTAAGCGTACTCGCCAGCACGTGCTGTAGGCTACCTGTGGAACTTGGCGGTCAGAACTGGGCTTGGGGTGAAAAACATTTTAGGCTTGGCCTTTGCAATGATGTATGAATTTCTTCACCTGAATCAACAATGAAGAGCAAAACGAGCTTTTTAACACTGAGCAATTGCCACAGCCCAGGCTGATTAAAAAAAAAATGTTCTCCCTCAGTTGTTTTACAGCACGCTCCTTTTCTTTTCAGCTGGTGGTCTTCTTGCCTGCTCTGTGCCGCAAGATGGGAGTGCCATACTGCATCATCAAGGGCAAAGCCAGACTGGGGCGACTGGTCCACAGGAAAACTTGTACCTCTGTTGCTTTCACCCAAGTTAACCCGTAAGTATTCTGTGTGCTGACTTGATCCGCTGTAGTGGAGAAAGCAAACTGCCTGTGAGCACAGACAACAGGGCAGATGGAGAGCAAACTTGGGGCTCTAAAGTAGTAAAACTAATGTCCTTTTGTAGTAAGAGCTCTGTTGGATCCTGAAGATGCAGATTACTTTGCCTTAATAAAATGGATGGTTCCATTTACTGTAAAATACGTAGATGAAATTATTACCCTTAATCTGAGCAGTGTAGGTTCCTAAAGCATTGATGGGTTGGCAAATTATGCTTATGCTTAACCTGAAAAGTCATGTTGCCAACTATGAGCTCTGAAATCCTGAAGCAAAAGATCGATGGAAAATGTTAAATTGAGGCTCTAAAGGAACTAAAACTATCACCAACAGGGAGGATAAGGGAGCGCTTGCAAAGCTGGTGGAGGCTGTCAAGACCAACTACAATGACAGATATGACGAGGTAAGACTCTCTGTGCTGCTAGCCTTACCTTTCAGTTTGTACTGTTAACATTCCCCAAGGCTTCCAAGTGAAATGCGCACGATTTCAGACGTAGTGACATCAGCTTTAAGGCTGTTGGGTGTGTTGTACCTAGATTTTGTTCATGATGTATCCAGATTCTTTACCAGAGGGTGGGGTAAAATGCAAACACTGTCACCAAGTGACAAGTAAATGGATCTGTCCCAGAACTAGGATTGCAGAGGGCAACAGCTTCTGCTAGGGTCAGCTCCACCCCCAATATGTGGTGGCTGAATCCAGCACCATTCATGGGGAAAAGATTTTAAAATCTTGTATCTCTGTGCTGCTCCGAAATGTAGATCACTGCTTGAAATGTGTAGGACTTGCTAGTTGAAGGAGCTCTTCCCCTTGTGCATAAAGGAGGAGGATTGAGCAAGTTGATTGAATGACGTGGTAAGAGATTGTATGAGGCTCTAACCTGTTCTCACTTCTTTGCAGATCCGTCGTCACTGGGGTGGTAACGTTTTGGGTCCAAAATCAGTGGCTCGTATTGCTAAGCTTGAGAAAGCAAAGGCTAAAGAACTGGCTACTAAGCTGGGCTAAAGATGTACTGGATTGCTACCATGTTTTCTGTACATAAAAAAAAAAATAAACCCCCAGATGAAGTTTCAGTGGTCTCTTACTGGGAGTGTTCTAAGCAGTGGATGGCACATCAGCATTGCCTTCCATCAGGTGGCTGAATAGCGCTGCACACAGTTGCACAGAGCAGGTTAGTACTTGAAACAACTGCCCTTTACTACTCCTCTGTCCTCCTTCCTCTCTGAACACGTAGCCCAACCACAGCAGCTCACCTGCCTGTGCTGTGTGACCAGGAAGTTGAGTGGGCTAGGCTAGTTCTGGCTTTGAGCCTAGCTTGCTTATGCAAATGTCTCTCAATTAGAAGTATCTCTTACCATCTCCATTAGTACTCAGACTTAGTTACACTATGGGTTATATAGGGTGTTACAATACTTTACCAGGCTAACCAGGTGGGGACCTGTGAGGTCTGTAATGCATCTTCCATGGCACGAATGGTCAGTGAAGGCAGGATAAAGTGGTGGGAGAAGAATCTAGACCTTTTCATGCTTCTGGTCTTTCCTGACTGCTGACTTGGTCTTGTGGCATTGTTGGAGGCCACCAAGCTTGATAAGGCTCCCAGCTGACGTAGCTGCTGCTTGTTTTTGCTACTCCTCATCGTGCTCTTGCAAAGCCACAGGCTGCCTTACCCAGTTAGACTTGAGTAGGCACAGTAACATTTAACTGGGGTCCATCACTGTTAAGATGCACAATGCCAGTCGGAAGGCAAGCGCCTATAGGCCATCTTTATTCTGATGCAAATGCTGTGAACCACTCCTGATTTCCAGAGTGACTACTCACTGCAAAGAAACTGATTCACAAAATCCCTTGTCTTTTGGAAAACACGGCAGTGAAGTTAGAAATTTGTAGTTTACAACCCACCACAATAAAAAAAAAGTATCCTTGAGATTTCTAGTGAAGCTGAAGTATGTGGTTGTCTAGACAGCCACTTAAAATTTTGAAGTTCAGCCCTTCCAAGCTGCAGTGACATGACACTGGTCAGACTCAGAGTCTGCATCTGTTGCTTAAAGTCTATTTGCACCTTCGTAGCTGCACAAGTTCACTGAACATGTTGCCCTGAAACTCTGGGTGCTTTAGTTCTTTAGGACTGATCAGACTGCTGTCTTCTACAAAAGTCTGCTCTTGACTGTAGTACAGAGGAGAAGTCGTCAGCCCTTCCTCTCACAGAGGTATCTTCAGTATAAATTTTCGGTACCACAAGAATGAAGTTGCAGCACATAAGCCATACCTAGGAAAGAAAACCACACATTTATGCCTCTTCAAGATGGACTGGATCTCCCCGAGTCAGCTGCAGTGCAATAAACCCCAATTATTTCAAATCACTGAGCAGTGTTACTTAGGTTAAGGCTTTTGTAGCTTAAGAGCTCATCCAGTCTCACTGATGCAGGAACAAGAGTGCCAGGCAAAGCTCTGTTCAAAAGAGACATGGGGGGTCAGTCCAGTGCTGGCTGGGTAACTTACCAGGTGATGATGTACTGCATGTGCTCATTTCTCAGGCTCACTCTTGTCTGGCCTCCGATGGGCCCCCCTGGGACTGTGCTTCCTAGAGGTAGAGCAGAGGGCACAAGTTAAATCTCTATAGTCTGCACCGTGTAGAGCTGCCCTGTTAATAGAAACAGGATGAAGGTGGTAAGTTGTGGGGATACCCTGCTCCTCTTCATCAGGTAGTGGTGTTCCCAAGATGCCAGCAAAGCCAGAGCTGTGGGGCAGGTGGCCCTATAGCAAGTGTCTGGTTGTGCTCAAAGGCCTCCAACACCCCCTGCATCTCTGCCATGCCACCCTTCCCCAGTACTGGCTGCCTGACAGTACCTTAAAAATATTTTCCAACCTAAATGATTCTATGATACTACATTTCCAAGTGCCCAGAAGAAATAACTAATTGAATGGAAAGTGGGGGGAGACTGATGCAAATTGGACTTGGGGTTGGGTTCTGCTGTGACTTACTGAAGTCGGCATCGATGAAGATGGGCTCAGCGCCTGTCACCTTCGCCATAGCCTCCAGGTCACGGTAGTGCCAGCGGTTTTTCTCAATGTTGTTTTCAGGTACAAAAGGTTTCCGGGTTTCTGTTAACCTCACCACCCCAGTGAGATCAATTTCATCTTCAATCTGAAGAGATGCAGAGGAGAAAAAAGGAATCTTTCAAGATTAATTTCAGATTCTGGCATACTAGGTCCTGTTAGAAAAATAGAGCGCTTGTGGGGTGTGATTATAAATCAAGTGGTCGTGCCCTGCAGTGGGGCAGTGCTGTAACACAGCAGGGAAAAAGGCAGATCAAGAACAGCATCTTGTTTGGAAAAAAAAAAACCAAACCATTCTTTACAATAATGTGGGAAGAAAACGTTTGCCTTTGAAAAGTGCAATGACTATTAAAGGAACTTGCCATGATGCTGAATGTGGCTACTGCCTTTCTGTGTTTCTCAGTGGTGCCTCTGGGTAATCCCAGGGCAGCAAGTAATACATGACAGTCCCTGCATCCCCCTTACCTGTCCCTTCAGCCTGGTCTCCGGTTTCAATTTCTTTTTGGGCACAAATCCTCGGTTGACTAAAATTGTGACCCTAGAGTTACATGAAGAAATACAGCTCATGAGTGAAAGGACATTTATTC